AAATCTCTCTTAATTTCTGCATAAAGGGAAAGATCATTCCCTCAGAAAAAAAAAATACCTCACCATAAAAATGTATCTAATTACCCACATAACTTTTCAACCAAGACGTTTTAATAAGACATCCTTTTAATCCCTGCCCATTTGATAAGGCATTTGGTAGTTTATTATACCAGCAGTACACAATTCAGTTTTGTAACACAGCAATAATAAATAACACAAATTAAAGAGTCAAATATCATAGCCTCCAGTGAAACAATATTTGGAATATAATTACATTCAGTACACATTTTGCAAAGGATGTAGACTCAGTTTCAAATTTAGCAAAATCTGACCAGGAAATAAATATCTGGAGCTTCACCACAGTGTTTGTTTGACCCTTTTCAGCCTTGAAATTCACTATTTGCCAAACGTCATTTCAACTTATAAGAGTGTTAAGGCTCCTCTAGTCCTCTGTAAAGAATTGAGTGCTCCATGAAGAGATGCTTTTAGAATCTTGCTGGTCTAATTTACATTGTAACTTATTTTAGTTACGCAAAACTTTATTCTCTCAGGGTAACGTTTCCAAAGATTTTAAACATCCTTGTGAAACAAATGATGTCAGTTTTTCATGCTTTAAATATACAGAGGTAGCTCAAAAAAAAAAAAAAAAAAAAAAAAGTGAGAGGAGATTACTTACTTGGAAACAAGGTATCCCCTGTCTTCTCTATGAACTGGCTCTTTCTTCTTTTAGCAATACAGTGCCAGCTTCTCCAGCCATGTGCTCTCTGCCCTTATATACACTAAAAACACTGAGAGATCAGAGATGGATAGCTTTTGTCTAATTTATTGAAATCCTTTCTGGCTTTGCAGGAGAGGTAATTAAAAACCACATGAATTTAATGATAAACATGACTCTGAATGAACTTAGGCTGGGCCATAATTTAGTTGTGCAATGCTAAAACTCTACTACAGAATCCATGCAGCATCTAGAACAGATGGATGTATTTATTTTGAACCATTCTTATTTTAAAGGTTTAATACATTAGAAATTAAAGAGTTTCTAATCACCTTACCTAAAATAATAATATCTCAGGAGAGACAAAGATCATGCTCTCATCATGCTGCCACTGTCTCTATTTTTGTCTGCAGACACCATGCTAATATGCACATCATATCATTAACAGCAAAACTAATGAAAGAGAAATTGCCATGGACTTCATGCTAAATAACTATAAAATGAGTGTATAAATACAATCAATGTATACTGCATCAAATACTTAAACTGTATCCTTCTACTGCTCTGTATTGGTAATTTTAATGGATTAAGATTCTTAGATTAAGATATATTTCTGTAGAATGACAGGATCTTGCTCTGAACTAAACCAGTCCATATTTTTAAATTAAATGGTCAGATTGTCCAGTGAGAACATTTTTTAAAGGATACATTTAATTCTTTTCACCCCGGTCTAGAACTACCTACCTCAGAAAAACAGGTTTACTGTGAAAAAGAAATCTTAAAGACAAACAAAAATTTCCTGAAATTCCATGAGAAACTACCTTGGACAGTACTGGCTAAGAAAAGAAATACACTGGCCTGAAAGGCTTTGTGAAGTTTGTGCTTTAGGGACATGGATTCAGTGGTAAAAAACAGGATTTAAACAGTTTGTGCAAAAGAGAATGAATCTAATTCCTCACTGTGGAATAGGACTTAGAAGTATTTTACTTCTAAAATGTAGCAAAAGTATTTTGATTTCATGAGAACTGAGTAAATGAGTTTAGTTCACACTGACAAAATAAGTGATAAAAGCTGTATAGGCATGTAGAAGAGCACTAACTGGAATGTTTATGTTTTCTACATCTCCATGTTTGCACTCAGTCACAGTATGTACCTCATGCCATAACAATATTGTTGCTATAATGTAATATAACTGTCTGATAATAGACAGTTATTAAAATAACCAATCCAACTAGAAATTAAATCTCAAAATGACAGAGCATTGTCTGTAATTACAACATAGTTATACTTCCACCCACGTTAGGCAGGGCTGCCCAAGTATCCTAATACACCAGTTAGTCTTTATTAATTGTATCTTAATGAGGATTCCTAGGACAAATTCAATATTGAAATTCAGATTATAATCAAAGTGTACATCATCTTAAATCAGCCGAAAATGAACAGTAACTGCCAAATGATGGATTCAAGAGTAAACTGCATGTAGTGGCATGTAATGTGTCCCAGTTACTTGCAAAACCAAATGCCACTGCTCTATAATAAGCCAACTTCTGTAAAAATACTACCACAGCAACCACCAAGATGGAACTTAAATAAACTGGAATAACATTTGTGTCTTATCACTCTGACTACAAGTTATAGTAACTGCATCAGAAAATTAAAAGTGATAACCACCTCCTCACTACAGGAAAGTTCTGGGACATGGCCTACATCCCAAAGAAGGCAGTTTGCTAACAACCCGTAGGCAGGAGTTGGTTGTGCTTTGGGTGATGCTGTCCCCAGCCCCTTTTTCCCTTTGGAAAAAGCAGCTGCCTGATGCAGATGTGTAAAACAAAGTAGAACCTAGAAATTCCTTTGCAAAGGAGAAGCACCCAGGAGGCTGTAGCGGAAGGGTGAGAGATTCTTGGGCTTATTTACAAGCTAGAACACCACCTTGCTCTGGTAGACACCGAGCTCAGTAGGACCTGAACAGCTCCCACAGCTCAAGACAGCAACAAACAGCGCCTGTAACTTGAAGAGTTAGCCATCTAAACCAGGGCATCAGGGGACACACAGAAAAGTAACTTCTGTGAAGTTGGTGAAAGAAATATCCAAGAAGGATCTATTTTTACAAAAACAATTAGTAGCTAAAAAGAGACTTATGCAAGGTGGAATAATAGACAATTGAATTTCCTCAAGTCTGCAGGTTCCTTGGTCTACTCTAGTTTTTCCCCTCTTCTGGACCTTAAAAACCAAAATCTAACAGAAGTACACAGTAGAATTAAACAAATCAGATGCACAAACAAGACACATTGGATAAATTGGTTTCGATTAGATACATAGGAGTTAATAGTATATAGAGGGCTAACCAGTATTACCTGAAATCAAGGTTGGAGAAGGTAAACCACATTAGCCATGCAATGGTACGACTTCTGAGAACCAAGTTTAGAATCTTTTTTTCAGTTAAATTAGGCACAAAATGAGGCAAGATTAGAGTCTGACTTGTTTTATGCAGGCACTGCTTATCTCTATTTGACTACTATCCCTAGCAAGAGAATGGAATTGGCTGGAGCCACTGCCCCAAATAAAATAATCACTTTTTTAAAAGATTAAAGAAGCCATTAACATGGATTGACTTTGTCCCAGCAGAACAGAGCAATGCAATCTGCTCAGTGCTGGTGATCTGGCAAGGACAAATCAAAGTAGTGTGACACCCAAGCAGAAAGACAGGGACTCACAGATGCTGAGTGCAGTGTCCAAACTCACAAGGACTTCTGAAGTGACAATGGCTCCAAAGGAAAAATTCTGTATTCAACACACGGATACTGCTGGCTCTCCATGATCAAAATGGATACTTATACAATTCTCAGCAAGAGCCCCAAAGGTTTTACTAATACCATACTTAATCCTCAAAAGCTTAAATAAAATCCAGTATGCACAGGGGAGGGTGGAGCTTAGAAAAAATTTGTGCATCAGCTATAGAGAGAACTGATGAGCTCAGCAATAGTTCAAGAGCCTTAAGACAGTTTGGAACATCAAGTCCCACTTCTGAAAGGAAGAGACAAAGAATCTGTGTTCAAGCAGAGACAGACATGGAAACTGTGTTCAAGCAGAGACCTCTGGCAGTCAGAGACAAAAAAATAACAACCAAAAAAACCCCACAAAAACCAAACCAAAAAGCAAACCCACAAAAAAAACAACCCAACATCAAAACAAATAAAAACAACAACAAAAAAAAACCATACCCCAAAACAACACAGGAACTGGAGAAATTAATGCTTGAAAGCAGGAAAGAAAGATTTGTGAACTCTACTTTTTTGCTTATCCACACACAATCCAGTCTTTTTACACATATTTGGTATGAAGGTTTGCTTGAAAGTGAACATTTTTCAGAAAATTCTGCATTCGTTTTTGTTTAAATGAATTCTGAATCAATTCAAAACTGTCACATTTGTAGACACACAAGTGCTTAGGCCTGTCTGAGTGCAGTATGTGGGAACCCTCTGCCCAGAAGCCTGATCTGACACATCCATACAAGGTACTGAGATGAGTGAAAACTGAGATAACACAGAAGTAGGAGGCTGGGAAAACCTGGAGAAATGAAGGCAATAAAGAAGGCAAGACATGAGACAGAATTATCACCATGAGGAGGAGGGAGAAGGGCAATGCTTCTGTAACAAACTATGTTTCATTACTCCCTATTGCTGTTGAGAAAGTTCTTTGCAGTGAATTTCAAACCTAAGGTTAAGCTTCAAAATTAGAAACAAATCTATTACACGAAGATACCAGGGTAGATACAATGTCCATGCTGCAGTGCTATGGACTGGGACTGCACTCCTGGGACTCCTTCACAACCACAGTGAACAGTGATGGAAACTTCATCTATAGTCATGCAGAATTAATCTCTTTCAGGTATTTTAGAGGGTATTTAACAACTCAAAATTAAAAATAAAGTTCACATGTATGTAATGTTAGGATAACGTTCAAGACAGATGGTTCCAAATCAAAGCCACAGACCACAGCTTCTCATACTTTTCATGCATACATGGTAGAGAGTAATTATATTCAGCTCCATTCAGTTTGCTGCTTTAAATTGCTGAAGGTCCCCCCAAGCACTTTTATGGACCTCATGGGGCAGGGGAGGCAAAAGCAGTAGGGAAGAACCTCTCAATCCCCCACTGCTGCCAAGGATGTTTAACCTGTAACATACATCCAGGGAAGAGAGAATTCTGTGTGAACAGTTTGGTTTAAGCAATGTAGCGACACTGAGAAGCTTTTACAGCAAAAGCAGGGACAAAATCTGACTCACCATGATAGGTTCTACTTGCAAAAGTCTCCCTTCTCTCCTGCATGCCCTAACTCATTTTGGTGAAGCAAACGAGGCAGTATCCACACCCGCAAACCCACCTTCTCCCTGGAGAAAGGAAAGAGAAGCCAGCAAGGAAAAGGCAGTTCAGAGCATGAGTTTCAGCTACACAGCAGCTATTCAGCAAACACTGTTCTGTTCACTGCCCTGACCAAGGGGTCACTCTGGGGATCTTCTGTTCAAGCCTCACAATGGGTTACACCACATTATTACAGCATGAACTGCTTAGAAATACAAAAGCAAAGAAGTAAGCCCCAAACAGCTTCTGCAGTGACACATCAACTGCAGCATCAGTTTAACGTGGCAATGATACGGATGGTTTTAGGAACTTATGCAGTATGCAAGCTTTAGGAAGCACAGATAAAGGTTCATTTAATGAGTAGCAATGCATCATCCATCAGCTCTGTGTAGCCACAGGCAATAGGCATGCTGGTAGCCTGTTAATGATTTTAGTTGGTTTCTTTGGTTGGCTACACTTAATTGTTGTCAACAAGAAAACAAATTAAAATTTTTGTTTTCTTCACCACATCCTTATGCTCAGCTTCCCAAAACAGCTACCCAGCAGATGCTGATTTGAGGGGTGGAGGGGATGTTTATAGCTACTCACAGGAATGAGGTAGGTAGGCCCCTTCTTGTGTTTCTAATATGTTTGCCTATTTAGGAAGGCAGGAGGCAACTGTCCAGCTGATTTACTTCTGATTTTGAATCTCTGCAGTATCATGTGCCTGTGAGGATGGAGAGAAAAGCAGAACAAGTTTTACTATTTTATTCCAGAAGTGACACTACTGTTACTGTTCTGCATCCGTTTGTCATACTCACTACACACTCTGACCCTGGAATACTTTTCTGTAGCATTATGATGGGAAAAAAAAATTCTATGCTATCTACATCAGATGGCAGCTTCCTAGGAATCCAGCCCCCTTCCTGTCTGGCATAGATACACAGAGGAAACACACCTCAAAATCAGTTTAGAGGGCTGGTTTTCTACCAGTTTGACCAGTTCTGTCCATGGCAGAACTGAGTAAAATACTCCAGTAGATCCAATATATTTAGTCCATTTCTACGTATGAAAAATTTACCTGCAGATTGAAAACCATCCATTTTGTTTAAAAAAAAAGTAATGTGATTTAACAAAAAACCAGTAACCCCTAAATCAACAAGCACTGCAGACTGATCTAAAAGAACCCTCAATATTAATTAAATTAACCATGAAGCATAGACCCTGGGTGGTTTAATGAGCTTTATCTCAAGTGTTTTGCATCCTGACTGGATATGTTGTAGTTTATATAGCTTTGATCTGCTTGACCTGCTAAGAGAGCAAAAATGACCTGTACATATTCTTCTTTTACAGCCTGTTTAGCAATACTATGACCAAATAACATTTTTTCTTTGACTGATTAAATATTGCTTCTCTATTAGTCTATGCATCATTCATCAAAGCCTTAAAACATAATCTAAAGTTTGTGGGGCTTTCATTCTTATAATTTTTTAATACTAAGAATATGAATTGTGAACTCACACAATTCTTTCAAGTTATATCCCTCCTAGTTACACTTTCTCCTTTATTAAAAAGAAAATCCAATCCACTCTATTTTCCTTTTCCACTCTCTTAGCTGCATTTTTTCCAAGTATATACTGTTGCACAAACTGATTTCAACATAACCCTCCTTTGCTGGACATTTTTAAAGCCCTTAGACACTACTTGCCCCACAGGCTGAGCTGAGCTCACCTGGTGAACGCAAGTTAGCCACCTAGAGTATTAAATTCACTATTCTGTGAAACTGCACTGAAAAGGGAGAAGAGCCCTGGTAACCTGACCAGAAAGAACTAAATAGTCTCCATAGTCATTGTCCTGGGTTGACTATTTGATGCTTTTATCCCCAATCATCTTGTTCTGTTTATACTGAATCATAACTTTTACACCTTTAAGACTCTTTTCCAGAGAGTGAAGAGGGGAGGGAAGAAGCCGCAGTTTGTTTTCAGACTGCACTCACTCCTCCGCATTCCTGCTCCTGGACTGTGTTGTCTGCGGATGGACAGACAGCAGGACAGAGCTCTTTTTTGCTTTTAGTTAGTTTTAGCTAGCTGAGGCAAAGTTCCCTGGACTGTGGTTTTTCCTTTTCTTGGAGCTGTTCAAGCCTGCTCTGGCCTGAGCACCCAGCAGAGCAGCGGCAGCTCCGCCTGTGGCTGCCGGGCCGGGCCTGGGCCGCGGGTTTCCAGCGCCGAGGGACCGGTCAGAGACCGAGTGAGCCAAGCTGCAGCCGGGGAGGGACTGTTCTGAGCTTGTCATCTCTGTGGAGCAGCAAGAGGTTTTACTGTTTAATATTGTTTGGGTACTATTGTTTAATAAACAGGTTTCTTTCCTCTTTTTCTCCCGAACCGGTTGGCGGGGGAGGGGTAAATTGAATCTGCTTTTGAAGATTTAGAAAATGAAGATACAACTCGATGCAGTTGGGAACTTACATGTACATTTTAACAAATTTCTACTGTTATTTCATGTGCAAAATTTTACTGACTTTTTTTTTTTTACTACAGATAATACATCTTTAAGTCTCAGCATTATTGGAAACAATCCAATATGCCAAATTTAGACATTTTAAAGAGATTGTCCAGATACTTTTTTCACTCTTGCCAAAGTCTTTATTTCAAACTTCTAGACTGAAACATTACCCAAACTCCACCTCAGTTTCACTGTAGTGTTTTTATTATTATGTGCAGATTGTACAAGTACACACAATTATAAATGAAAAATGATGCTCAAGATGTGTGAGTTCATCTGATTCCTTTGCAACAGCAGTATTTCCTTCACACACACATTACAGCCACACCCACAAATCACTGAGAGCAAGTGGTGTATCAGTAATGCTGCTGTGCTGTCCTGGTGCCCTCTCATCCAGCTCAGCTGCTGCACACTCACAACACTCAGTGAGAAACAGCACACATGGAAGGACTTCCCAGAGTGTCACTGGCCATCAAAGTGCCCCTTGGTCTCTCTGAAGGCCAATAAAAACAGCTGCTCCAATGGCAGAAGTTAAAAGATAGCCAGAACAAATATCTCTTTAGATAGCAAAAACGTGAAGGAAAAAATTAATACATAAGGGGCTGCAGAGAAAAGTCCCTTGTGGTTCTCTGCCTCCTGTTAGCACCATCCCTGGATGTTTGCATGCATCCATTGGGTAATAAAACAGAGGTTAGGAAAATGAGAAAAAGAATATTGGCGTCATCCTAATTGGGTTTAATTCCTATGACAACACAAATAATGGGCATGGAGATGCAAAATGTGTCTTTCAGTGAAGAGGCTAAAGCAAAAGCCACAGCTTCTTACAATTGTGAACTACAGATTTAAATGAAATTGTAATTGCCAATACAAGCAATGAATTTGACCTCAGTCAAATTCAATTCTACATTCAGCTATTTGATGATTCATCCATAATGAAAGAAAAACAAATGGCACTAGAGTCAAACTGAAATAATCACAAGAAAATTTTTCTGGAAAGAACATGAAACATATACAGAAAGCTCCTATAAAGGTTATTAATACTTTCAAAATTCAACCTGGGTCTTGTTTATGGCATAACCAAAATGTGACAATCTCTGATGACTCATGAAGGTTTTGGTGACAGAAGCAGTATCACCAAGATATTGGGAAGTTTTCTGTACAGTCCCTTTAGCTCCCAGAGCATGTGTCACTTTGAGGCTGATGTCTGGTTGTGCATCAACATCTATAGTAATGTAGTAACAGCATGAAGTCACAGAAAACACAGCAAATGTTTGACTGGTCAAAAGCTAGAGACACTTTTTCACAAGGGAAAACTCTTTTTAATTAAGACCTTACACATAGTTCTTTATCACAAAAAGCAAAGGCACTTTTCCAGGTCCATGCTAGAAAAATACCAAATCTCAGCTCTCAAGCTGATCAATTATCTACATTCATCTTCTGAAATAAGACAGGTACAATCTGAATTGAACCAACAATGATGTTATCCCCAGTCTCCACCAATCTGCCTTACAGCACTTCCCCAGAAAAAGCAGTCTGCACTGACTCAAAGGTGATGCTAAATCCCAGAAGGCCTGAACAGGTGGATTCCTTCCTTCTCTGCACCGCTGGCTTTGGGCCACCTGGGCACACCTGCTCTGCTGATTGTCTGAGCAGTCTGTAGCATGACTGAGAAATAAATACGAGACCATAAAGCTTGGTTTTGCCTCCCCAATACTGTGAACACCTACACTTTATTGAAGATATTCATCTTTTAAAAACACTATTAAATAAGTAGCTCTTTTCCCTCCCTAGCCACTGAAAACTCAGAATTCTCAATTAAATGAGAATGTATGTTCTTCATTCGTTCATTCATTCCTAGGTGGCAGAAGATGAATGACTTTTGGCATGTATATTCCTAATTTCTGATGATTTCTAGTTAACTTATCTGCCCTAAATTTCTGAGAAAAAGCTATTTCTGAATCTTATACAATCCCCCCAACAGTAATTGAAAGCCAACAGCAAAGCAAGTTACAGGCATATAGACACTTCAGTGGTGGGCTAAGTAAGAAAACCTATTTCTAGAGAGCTGCACAAACTTTAGCAAATCAGTGGAGTGCACTGCTGCTAACAGAGCTACCCCTTCTGAAAGAATACAAAAGCAAACAATTGAAGTTACTCTCACACTCTGCACCAACCACCCAGTTTGATGACTTCACAGGAAAACACAGCCATAGCTTCACCCTTCAAGACATTTTTACAACACTTCATCAACTTCATAGGGACAGCTCCACCTTTACCAATAATAAATGGAATTTCACTTTAAAAAAAATCATATTTTATTAACTGCAAGGTGCCTCTGGATACAAAACCTGACAAGCCCCCAACCCAAAACTAGACCACACAGTACATACGGAGTCTTAAAGGCTCACAGCATAAAGTGCAATCTCCTATTGATTTTAGCTTCATCTTGTGAGACCCATCTTCCTTTAAATCCTATTTCACCTAATAAAGCCATTTTCCAGTTGCCATTCTCCTGATAATGCTAAAAAAAAAAAAAAAAAGACTGACTTAGAGGTTAGTGAGAGCTTCCTATAAAAACTGGGAACCTGCTTCTGCTCTGTATAATCACAGAGCCATTGTTTCTCCTCAATCAGCTTCTTGGAATTGAGGATTGAGGGAGAAGAAAGGGGGACAGTGGCCTGGCTCCCCATCATGGTACAGCTGAGCCATGGGGAGGGCAGGGGGCTGCTCTCAAAAGGCCACATAGGTGGTCCATCTGTGCCCATCTAGGATTCTTCTGGCAGCTCCTTAGGGGTGAGACATGGGCAGGAGGAAGAATGGTGCATCAAAGACACCAAAACATGCACAAATCTGTGCTTTCCTCAGTGATTGCTTCTACACCATGAAATGCCAGCAGAGCCAGCCTGACCTCTGTGCAAAAGAAGCCAATTAAGGGAAAAGAAAAATGACTAAGGGAAATTCTCCTATGATCTAATGAGGGGTGTCTGTGTGTGAGAATATATTTTGAACCACAGGCAATAACTCTTCTATCACTCAAAACAGGTACCTATAGCCCAGAAGTCAATGAAAGTTTTCCAAAAAACAATTATTCAAAATCTCTTTTTAGAGGAAGAGCAAAAAGAATTAAACCATCTTTCTTGTTTTTCAGAGATGCTCTAAGTGGAAAACATGATGATTATATGATGAGTTGTCACTCGGCTACAGCCCACTCAGTTCTATTACTGCTTGCTCCAGCTACTTGAACATTCAGTCATCTCAGTTACCTTTTATACTCATGGCACGCAGGAATTATCAAAGGCCTTTACAACACAGGGCAATCCTTGCCCTCAGAGTCCAAGCTGATTGGATGTCTTCGTGCTTTACTGGAATTTAGGATTGCATTGTGAAAGCGAGTAGGAACCCTGTCTCCGTGTCATCTGAACTCCTGCACCACACATATTTTTCTCTGCCCTTCCTTTTGCTCTCTGGAAGGCTGAGGTTGCAGAGTACAGTGCAGCATTTGCATATCAAAAGCAGTATCACTTTACATAAAAACAGGCACTTTTCTGGTTTCAGTAACCAAGAGCTCAAGATTTCCTTCCTTTGAACCTGTAACTTCAAATTCAGATGTAACTCAGTTCATCAAGACTGGTTCAGATAAATATTTTTAAAAATGAATAATCTTCCCCACTACCAGTGTTACCTGATACTTTTTTTGCCAGAGACATTTTCTTTCCAGACCCTCTTCTTCTGGAGCAGTTGACAACTTCACTGTCTTACCTGAAAGAACAAATGCGAAACATGCAAACAAGTTCAAAGATCATAAAGAAACAATTCTTATTTACCTCAAGTTATATATAACTTGTTTGAATGCTACATGGTGCTACCTCACTTACTGGGGGGTTTCAATATATTTTTCCAGCTGGCCTCCCTGGGCTCAGGTGTGTCAGATTTCATTGTTAAAAGAAGCAGGATGACTCTGTGCTCTACCTTACACCATCTAACAAAAGAACACATACACAAAATACTGTTCCAGGTTACTGCAGCCTCATGATGAGGTAGCAATCTTGCCCTGAGTTTCCACCTGGAGGTGCCTTTTCTGAAGCAAAATGTCCAACCCTGGTGTTAACAGACACAAGTTGTCAGTGCAGGACAGTGAGCGCACCATAAACTCCGACTTGGGACCTTCATCAAAAGGTCCCAGCCTTGATGACACCCAGCCTTGACACTTTATTATTGCACCAGTTTATCTCAGCAGGAGGCAGAATTGATTCAAGCACAAGCCATGCTACCTGCTGAAGTTGTGTCCCTAATTGTATCACCCAAACCTTTATACCCTTGATCAGATCAACTGCTATCGACTTAAAACCACCATCTACCCCCCAGAAAGCAGATGGGCAGATGAATACAATACAAAGATATTCACAATTCTGCTTCTGAAAAAGACCCTTCCTGCACCTTAATAGGGATGTGCAGCCTAGTGCCTGGCATGTCACAGACAGGTGAGACTAGAGATACAAGCTATGGTGTCCTCATGAGGGACAATAATTTTCAATCTCTGCATTGGTCCCCTGCCCTTTTTATTGATGGTCACATGCAACACACAGGTGAGTGCACAAAGGCTCCAAAACAGGTAAGAAAAAGATGTGATCATGTCCCCTCTCCCCACAACATGACTGTGAGATGTGACATCAATTTTAATGACTTCCTTGCCTAGAAGCGCACCTGGCCACCCACACAGGTAGACAGAGCAATGAGGTGGGAATGGAGAATGAATGACTCAGAGAAATCCCAGCTGTTTACCACCAGTGTCTCACTACTCCCAACACCAACAGCAGTGGGTGGTGCTAGAGCTGTCTTTGACCCTGCCAAACCCCTCTTCCACTACTTCCCACCATTAGAAATGTTGATGCATTTCTAAGTCCTAGCATGAATGCATTACCAGTTTCATGAGGAAGATCTATCTGCTTCAGATGCTTCAAAAGAAAAACAGGCAACTGTCATGCTCAGGAGAACCATGCTATACTGTGACTGCACTAGTCACACATTCCTTTGACCTGTTTATCATTCACTACTCACCTAAAACCCTTGTTAATCCTCAATCTGATCTATTTCCCTATATGTCTTCAATTAGAGTCAGATCATTTAGAGAAACTGCACTGGATCAAAACCAAGATCAGTATTTACAATCAGTCTCAGCAAACGTCCTTCCATTTTCCATCTATTTTTTACTTACAGCACACAGCATAATGCAAGCTTATTAAACACAACACAAAAGTGTTTGTGAGCACCTTTTTTTTATGAGTACCTTGTTTTAAGATAGGAATCTTAATCCCCTTTCCTTTTAAAAAAAAGTTTCCAAATTCTCACACACATTTCTGTACTAATGCTCTGTGCCTAACACGAAGCCAGTCCTGTCAGGACCATGTTTGAAGAGAGAAGAATCAGAATAGTGGATGCATAAAGACACTACTGCCATCACTCCTTCACCCTCACAAGACTACCACTCACCTGAAGTGCCATGTCCTTTTACTGTCCTTTCAGCAATAAAAGGGAGAACCTCCTACAAGTGCAAGTTTGCCTTGGCTGCTGAAGTCACACATCTTACAGTGAATAGTTCTCTTACATGGTTGTCAAAGCAGAGGCTGGATTTGTTAATTATTTGGAGGAAACTATACTCATCTTTCTACAAGGACTCACTTTTGTGGGTTCTAGATCTGTGCAGATTCTTCAAGACCCTGAAAAGCTGACATGCTGCACATGAGGTGTTCAGGAACCCAGGTTCCCCAGGCTGGCTGCACCTGTCTGGTTACAGACAAGTGTGAGAAAAGGAGCCTCATTTCAGTACATTAGTCCTGTTCTCTGGTAGTCTACACCAAACACTGATGAAAGAAAAGAAAACTGCATAAACCAGTAAGAGATAAAATGCACACAGAACATAAATAAGTACAGACACCTGGAAAAGACCAATGTGGTCTAAGGTAGGTTGGAAAACTGCTGGCAGGTTCACAAGAACAATCCCATTCAAACCAAGGCTGACTGGATGCATGTGTTAGGAGTGGGCATTTTCCACAGCTCTATTTCTCAAGAAGCATGGAGAAAAAAATAAAATTCTCAATTCTCTTAAAAAATATCCTAATTCAGCTGTCAAAACTGTCTTTTATGTCCAGCACTATCTTCAGTGCAGTCCTGCCTTTCTGCTTGCCTGATGTATTCAGAGGTTGTTGCTGGAGTCCCTTCCTCTTGTCTGTCCCATTTAACTAATGCAATTCAAGAGAATAAAATAAACTATTTCTGCAATAGCAGGAAGGCACATAGTGAACTGTGGAATACCAAATCTACCAATTCACTTTATTCAGTGGATACAAATTTTACCCATAATACTTCTCTGTAACTGACTGACACTAAAACAGAACAAATAATTCAGTAATCACACCTGCAGCCAGAACAGTCTGTCTTGTTCAGAACTGAGGTCATCCAGAGAGGGGAATTTGCAGTGCAGCTGCTGTACTTTACATAAACACAGAGCTTCCATGGAAATTTGAACGCTTGCTTCTCACCCCTCCTCCCCTTTTTTTTTTTTATTTAATATAATTTTCCTGTATCCTTTGGAAAACTGTAAATTTTATGGGCAGATGTGGGTTTTTTCCATATATGAGAGGGAAATACATCACAAAATTGTTTTCGCTTGTAAACAACAGAATTGTCTAATAATTTTAGTATGATATTAACAGAAAGTCCTTACATATTTTTATATCATAAGAAACAAAATTTTAAACTGCTTAACTCTATTTCTTCAAAAGTAGGCAAGACAGAGCTTTAAAGGAGAAATGCCCAAGATTTTAGGTTAAATGTTTCAAGCTGCTGTTTTATGTTTATATGGTTATAGAGTTTCATTGGCAAAATGACCCAGGATGCACTCACTTCTTCACAATGCTGTTTTGCTCCAAAAATTACCTCCTCCACCTTTTTTATTATGGTAAATAAAATAGTTACTGTTATTTCTCATGTGCTAAATGAATATTATTTTCACAACACCCTTAATGATTCCCTTTTATTAAGGGCATTCCCCAGTATATGTCTTCTCAGTCCCTGTGAAAACCCCATTCTAAATATTTCTCAAAACATGCTGGTATAAAATATGAAATTCAGATGTGATGTACAGGATAACCAATTTTACACTGATAGCTGCCATTTAACAAAGACAGTAGAGTTCTGCAACACAACTACACGTTTATTAAACCCCAAGATAAGTTCATTACAATATCTGTGTGTCTGTGTATCATTAAGCTACATCCAAACACATTTAAGCTCTCATTTTGCAAATAGCTCAGTAAGGGTGCAGAGCCTTATTTACCCATGTTCCTGAAACAAGCTGCAAAGGCAGCTGCTTCAATATTGGCCAGTCTAGGTGTTGTAACTGAGCCCAGGTCCCCCACTGCAGCAAGCTGGGAACCCTGCTTCAATAAGCATTCTTAGTAGGACCCATTCAAATTTTCACATATATTGGCAGAATAAGCAGGAAGTTCGACAACAAAAAAGGAAGTATATTTGCATATTTTGATGCATTAAAATAATGCAGGACTTCCATTCTTCTCTATTCAAGTTCCTGTGTATGTGTAAAAGATGAAGAAGCAAAATTTTCCATTTCAGGTAGGGACTCTGTTAGAAACAGCATCAAAGGATGAAAATGTGTCTCTGCCAGTCCAGCTGAATGTCAACTGTTATAAAAGGTACTTACTAAAATGAGTGGCACAATCACCACTCCTTCAATAACAATGAATCCTCTCTGAAGCTAAAAAAAATTACAACATGGTTGTTTTGCACTTTTAGTAAGAGTTCTTGCATTACCTCAGCGTTTGCATCAAAGCTGGTAGTGCAAAGAGGAAAGCAAAGCCCATTTTATGAACTGATGTAATCAAGCCCAGCATCTCTCTGGGGTTTTTTTGTTCCTATGGTGGCAATGACATCAGCCCACTCTGCCTATTCAGTAGTGGAGAGCAATGACAGTTCTTCACCTCTGCTCACACATTTCTCTATTCTTTTCCTCCTGCTTGTACATCCTGACACATTAAGAGCCACTTGCATTTCAATGGGACACAAAACAACCCTTGCCTCAAATCCCTCTCCTCACTCTTTTCCTCAATGATACCAGCTGTCGAGGACAAGATCAAAACTTGCCTTGAGAAAGAGGAAACAGAGGAAAGAGAAATATCTCAGGCACACCTAAACACTGTAAAGGGGCCATGAATTTACAGTGGGGATCCCACACTGTTCAAGTAATAGCTTTATTAAGTGCAGCAGACAGTGCCACACACAGAGCTGACCTGCAAAGGCTCTGGAGCTGCCTGGCCATGGCAAGGCAGATGTTGAACTGGCACCCACAGACACGCTGGCTGCAGTTCCAGCAGCATCCTCCTTCACACGGCCCCAGATGTGCCTCTCAAGGCTCCTACAAACCCATGAGACTAACTCTGCTTTTCCAAATCAGTTCCTACACCTGTAAAATGAGACTAATTATACTAATCTTAAAAAGAACTTAACATCAACTGAAGAGAAGACGATTTACTTGCCGTTGACATAATCCAGCCATGGAATTCCCCATCTAATTAATTCTCTCATCTGAGACACAACATCTAGGCCAGAATACATTAAAGAAAATATATTTACACATGGAAAGTACTGTAAAGCTTAGTGACAAATGTGATCTGTTACTAAAGCCTACCAGCAAGCACACTGAACATTTTGTAAATTTTCCTTATAAGAATTTTCTTGGATCT